TTGTATTCACTGGCCAATTGTCACTTCATTGAGGATGACGGATTGAGTCCTACCAGTGTGGCTCTGAGCCCTACTCTCAGACTTGAGCTTTATTTTTATTTATTTATTAATTTTTTGGTGAGGGCAATTGGGGTTAAGTGACTTGCTAGTGAGTGTTATATGTCTGAGGCCAGATTTGAACCCAGGTCCTCCTGACTCCAGGGCCAGTGCTCTATCCATCACACCACCTAGCTGCCCCTAGACTTGGGCTTTAAAAGGAAGTAACAATAGGTAGCAATTGCATAGCACCTCAAGGTTGACTTACACTTAACAAATATCTCATTTGATTCTCACAGCCCCACCAGATAAGTGTTGTTATTGTTCCATTTTACAGGTAAGGAAACTGAGGTAGACGGAGGTTAAGTACTTTGCTGACGGTCACCCATCTGGTAAGTGTCTGAGGCTAGATTTGAATTCAAGTCTTCCTGATTCCAGGCCCAGGGCTCTATCCACTTCATCACCCAGCTGCTTCTGGAGTTGACCAGAGACCAGAACTCTGAGAAGGGTTACTGGTGGATAGCTGACTTGGGTCACAGTGTACGTGTCCAGAGATTCAAGGAACCCCTCAGTCCCAGAGATGGCAGCTCTGGAGGAGAAGGCTAATTAGGATTTTGGTGGTGTCCACCAGCCAAAGGACCTTGCCATCTACCCTGCTGAAGAAGCTTCCAAGGAGCGTTAGTCCTTTCAGCTCCAGAACTCTTGCTCTGGGGCCCACACTATGCTAACCACGTGACCCACTATATCCAGTCACCCCCTAGCCAGGCTTCACATTCTACCCTGACATCTTCTTGTTATTTTCCCTATTGCTATAGAATCTTTCCTTCATCCCCCTTCCTGTCCTCTTTTCAGGTGCGGAACCACAGTCAAGTCAATCTGGCCATGGCTACTGAAAAGTGTCAATCAATTCACCTTTGGCTCCACACTTAGGATTTCCCAAACCAAAATACCCCTTCCTGTCCACTACTCCCCACAGGTGTTTTCTTCCCCATTAAAATTTAAGCTCCTTAAGAGCAGGCATTCTCTCAATTTTGCTTTTGAATCCCTTAGAGTTACCTAGATTATAAAATGCAGAGAAGGTGCTAATCTGCACCAGTAGAGAGTTTCCTCAGCTGAGTTTCAGTTCAAATCACAGGACTAATTCCACGCCTATCCCCAAGCTTAGCCCAGGGCTCAGCAGAGGGGTGGGGAACCTGTGGCCTCCAGGCCACATATGGCAGGTTCCCCACCCCTGGTTAGCATATAGTAAGCACTTACGAAGTGCTTTTTCATTATTTCAGTCCTTCAAAGACTACTCCTTTGCAGCCCATCTAACAGATGTCATTAATGCCTTGCTTAGGGAGTTAAGCCAGAATAAAGGACTTATTCCTTAATTGACTGTCATTCCAATTAACTGTTACACTACGTGTGTGTAGTGCTGACCACTGACCTGAACACATGACTCACCCTTCTCACTCCACTCACCCCTCTTCTTCAATCCATCCAATCTACAGCTGACAAATAACCTATTTTATGCATAAGTCTGATCATAGCACTGCTCAAAAATTTTGCCGTTTGTATGTTATCTATCCCATTAAATTATGAGCTTTTTGAGAGCAGGGACTGTTTCTTGCCTTTCCATTCCAGCTCTTAGCACAGTGCCTGGCCCATAGTAGGCACTTAATAAATGCTAGTTGACTGACTGACTCCCTGTTGCCCTCTGGGTAAAGGTGAATCTCCACAGGCAATCTGGCAACAACAACCTAGCTTTCTAGCCTTATCTCATGCCACTGGAGTCCAACCCCCATCCCCTCTAGCATTAATTGCACCCCCTTATTACTCCCACACACTACTCTGGGACTTCTTATCAGGTATTTCTTTTCATCCCCACCCTGGGCTTTTCAGCTTCTCCAGGTGTGCTGTCTTTACCCACTGCATCACCAGCATTGTGCCTGGCACGTAGTAGAAGCTTAATAAAAGTTTATTGACTATTGCCAACATTAAAGGAGCATTTATTAAGTACTTTCTGTGTGTCAGGCACGGTGGTAGGCCCTGGGGATAGAGACAAAAATGAAACAGTTCCCGCCCTCAAGGAGCCTACATTCCATTGGGAGGAGACAAGGACAGAGAAACATAAAAAGTAATTCATTTCTGGTGGGAGGGCACTATTAACTGGGGAAATAGGACAGATTCCTGTAGGAGGTGGATCTGGAGCTAAGAAGTTAGGGACCTACAAGGAACAGGTGAGGAGGAAATACTGTACAAGTATGGGGGATTGGAGATGGAAATGTTGCATTCGGGGAATAAAAAGAAGTCTAATTTGGGTGGAATATAGAGTTCATGAAGGCAAGTAATATGAAGTAATCCTCAAAAGAGCTTTAAAAGCCAAACAGAGGAGTTTGCATATATCCTAGATGCAAGAAGCTGCTTCATCTTCTTGAGCTGGATAATGATATGGCCAAACTTGTACTTTAGGAGTATCAGTTTGGTGGCTATATGGAGAATGGACTGGAAAGGGGAAACAAGAAATGCAGGGAATTCAGTTAGGAGGCCTTTGCTGTGGTCCCCACAAGAGGCGATGAGGATCTGAGCAAGAATGATGGCCGTGTGTGTGAATGCAGAGATGGGCAGGCATTACGAACGTTTTCGCCATCACTTTCTTAAGTCTGGAGTGACAATTAACAAAATAATACATCAAATCCTGATTTGTAGTTCTGATTTCTAGGTTATAAATGCTCACACTGAAAATTTAACAATTGGCTTGTGACTGTAAGAACTGGCTTCAGCACACCAGACAATTTGTTGATGTGTGAGACTGGAGTTCTGGCTGGATATATAGATCTGAATGTTGTCTATATAGAGTTGGTGGTTGAACCCATGGGTGTTGATGAGAGAGACAGACAGACAGAGAGAGACAGAGAGAGAGAGAAGGAGGAGGAGGAGGAAGAGGAGGAGGAGAAGAAGGAGAAGAAGGAGAGTCCAAGACAGAAATCAATGAAACTTCACCCCCTTCAGAATCTTGCTCCTGCATGCTTTGCTGCCTTCCATTACCCTCACCAGTAACCTTGTCCACCTGAAGATGTCTCCATGCTCTGAGGCATCCTGTCTTGATTGGTCAATCCCTATGGCAACCTTCCTTATCCCTTCCTCCCTCTCCAGCTCTCCTTTATGTTTTGTCTTCCTTTATTAAAATGTAGTCAAGAGTAAGAGATGATTACTTTTACATGTGAAATTATGTAAAACACTTCAATATTAGTTATTTTGTACAAAAAGACTAGAATAAAAGGGAAAAAATGAAAGAAAGTGAAAATAGCATGCTTATTCAATCAATATCATTTCACGTCTTTTTTTTTTCCTTTTTGGTGAGGCAATTGGGGTTAAGTGACTTGCCCAGGGTCACACAGTTAGTAAATGTGAAATGTCTGAGGCTAGATTTGAACTCAGGTCCTCTTGACTCCAAGGCTAGAACTCTAGCCACTGTGCCACCTAGCTGCCCCTCATTTCTTTCTCAGGAGGCAGATAGTATGCTTCATCATAAGTCCTTCAGAGTTGTCTCGGATCATTGTGCTGCTGAGAATAGCTAAGTCGTTCACAGTTCTTCATCAAACAATATTGCTGTTACTGTGTACAATGTTCTCTTGGTTCTGTTCACTTCACTCCACATTAGTTTGAGTAAGTTTCTCCAGGTTTTTCTGAAATCATCCTGCTTGTTATTTTTTACAACACAATAATATTCCATCACAATCACATACCACAGCTTGTTCAGCCATTCCTCAACTGATGGGTATCCCTTTGATTTCCAATTCTTAGCCACCACAAAAAGAGCTGCTATGAATGTTTTTGTACAAATAGCTCCTTTTCCCTTTTTTTTGGATATCTTTGGGATACAGCCTTAGCAGTAGTATTGCTGGGTCAGAGGGTATGCACAGCCCTTTGGGCACAGTTCTGAATTGCACTCCAGAATGGTTGGATAAATTTACACCAACAGTGCATTAGTGTTCCAGTTTCCCCCATTCCCTCCAACATCCAACATTTTCCTTTTTTGTTATATTAGCCAATCTGATAGGTGTGAGGTGGTACCTCAGAGTCGTTTCAATTTGCATTTCTCTAATCAATAGTGATTTAGAGCATTTTTATATGACTCTGATTTCTTTGTCTGAAAACTGCCTGTTCATAGCCTTTGACCATTTGTCAATTAGAGAATGACTTATATTTTTATAAATTTGACTCAGTTTTCTATTATATTTGAGAAATGAGGCCTTTATCAGAGATACTTGTTGCAAAATTTCCCCCCAGTTTTCTGCTTTCTTTGTAATTTTAGTTGCATTGGTTTTGTTTGTGCAAAAATGTCTAAATTTTATATAATCAAAATTATCTATTTTACATTTTGTAATGCTCTCTATATCTTTTTTGATCCTAAATTCTTCCCTTATCCATAAATCTGACAGATAAACTATTCCATGCTCTCTTAATTTGTTTATGGTATTACCCTTTATGTGTAAATCACGTTCCCATTTTGACCTCGTGTGAGATGTTGGTCTATACCTAGTTTCTGCCATACTGTTTTCCAGTTTTCTCAGCAGTTTTTGTCATATAATGAGTTTTTGTTCCAAAAGCTTGAATCTTTGGGTTTATCATGTACTGGATTACAATGGTCATTTACTGTCATATAATTTGTACCTAATCTATTCCACTGATCCACCACTCTATTTCTTAGCCAGTATGATTGTTTTGATAATCCATGGTAAATATTTAATAAACATGCTCGCTCTCTCGCTCTCTCTCTGTGTCTGTCTGTCTCTCTCTCAAATCAGATAAATAGAATCTCAGCATTAGAAGAGACTCCAAAGTCATACAGTAGAACAACGTACCCAACCAGTGTATCAATCAGTCAACAAAGCATTTATTAAGCACAAACATGCCAGACACCATACTAGGTTCTGGAGATACAAGGACAGAAATGAAATCGTCCCTGACCTCAAAGAGCTTACCTTCTATAAAGGGGGAAACACAAAACAGGAGATCGGTAGTGAGGAAGGGGTATTTTGGTTTGGGAAGCCACCTGCTTGACCTGTAAAGCCATAGGGGATTAGATTGACTAGGCCTTCCCAGGATCAAGGGCAGCATTGATTTGATTAAGGTACTAAGTGGCAAACAGGGATGGGGTGAGGGGGGAGAGCACCTTGGCTGCAGGGTGGATGGCAAGGTCCAGTGGTCTGGAGGGTACAGCTGTAGGCAGAGCAGAGGTCAAGAAAATGGCCCAGGTGATTAGGAAGTTCTTCCTCCCATTGAACCAAAGTGTGACTCCCTAGAATTTCTACCTATCACTTGCAGCTCTGCCCTTTGGAGCCACACAGAGGAAGTCTACTTCTTCTCCCCCATGACAGCCCTTCTGAAGACAGTGATAGATCCCAGAAAGCTTTGTGGGTTCTAGTCCCCTTGTCATCCTGATCACCCTTCTATGGCTGGGTTCTAGCCAAGGAACTAAATTCTTTCTAAAATGTGAGTAAAGACTGTAAAATGAACTCAGGCTCCCTATGGCTCCAATAGAGACAGAGGCCTTTCACCAACCTGAATCTCATCAACTTTTGTTTTCTGAACGTTTGTTGTTAAACATTATCATCTGTTTTTGGACTTTCAAATTCAGCTCAAAAGGTAGCGAAGCCTGGGTTGGTAGAGTTCTCTCTAGGCAGAAGGAATCACACGAGACTGTTCAGGACTCCGTCTCACACTCCTGCAAGAAAGATAATTATAATTTACCTTTCCATATTATTTAAGGTTTATAGAACCCTTTCCTTACAATAATCCTTGAAGTTGTTAGGGTAACAGTTATTATCCCTCTTTTAAGAATGGAGAAAACTATGGGGCAGCTTGGTGGCGCAGTGGATAGAGCATTGGCCCTGGATTCAGGAGAACCTGAGTCCAAATCTGGCCTCAAACCAAACACTTGACACTTACTAGCTGTGTGACCTTGGGCAAGTCACTTAACCCCATTGCCCAACCAAAAAAAACCCCAAAAACAAACAAACCAAAAAAAAAAAAAAGAATGGAGAAAACTAGGGGGCAGCTAGGTGGCACAGTAAATAGAGCACTGGCCCTGAAGTCAGGAGGACCTGAGTCCAAATCTGGCCTCAGACCAAACACTTGACACTTACTAGCTGTGTGACCCTGGGTAAGTCACTTAACCCCAACTGCCTAAAAATTTTTTAGAAAATGAGAAAACTTAAGGGGGGGGAGGGAAGAATGACTTGCCAAAAGACAGGAAGGAACTAATAATAATAATGATAATAATAGCTAGCATTTATATAACCCTTTAAAGTTTGAAAAAATTTTTTACAAATAGTATCTCATTTGATCCTTACAACAACCCTGGGTGGTAGATGTTATTTATTTTTGAGAAATTTTGAGAAAGGAGGAAACTGAGAACGAAAGAGATTAGGTGACTTGCCCAGTGTCATGAAACTAGGAATCTGAGCCAGGATTTGAACTCATGTATTCCTGATTTCCAATTCAACACTGAGCCACCTGAGAACAAAGACAGGAAGGCAGCCAAGATGAACGACCCAATGAAATATCAAAAGATCCACCCTGAATGGAACCCAGAACCCAGAATCCAGAACTAAAAGTAACAGGAAAGCAGGTGGGGAAAAATTCACTCCTGGAAATAGTAAGCAAAGATTGATTTTGCTCATTGATTGTAAAAGTTGGTTTCCAATTCCTTGGGGTACCTGTTGGTGTTTTCAGGACTGGACAGATACTGTGGTTTCCATTTCTAGTAAAAATCCATTCAATCCACCAAACATTCAGTGCACTGTGCTAGGCACTTGGGATACAAAAACAAAAAGAAAATAGTCTCTACTCTCAAGGAGCTTACATTCTACTGGGGTGAAACAACATGTAGGTAGGGAAGTATATAAAAAGTAAATACAAAGTAAGGGAGGTGGGTGACGCAGTGAATAGAGTTCTGGGCCTGGAGTCGGGAAGACCTAAGTTCAAATCCAGCCTCAGACATTTGCTAGCTGTGTGACCCTGGGCAAGTCACTTAATCCTATTTGTCTCAGTTTCCTCATCTGTAAAATAAGCTGGAGAAGGAAATGGCAAACCGCTCCAGTATATTTGCCAAGAAAACCCCAAATGGGGTCACGAAGAGTCAGACACAACTGAAAAATGACTCAACAACAAAAAAGTGGGGGAAAGGGAAAACCACTACCAACTAGAGTAGGAGTTCTTAACCTTTCTGATATATGAAACCCTTTTCTTCTCAGAATAATGTCTGTGGCTTCCATTCATAATTGAAGGAAATGCTAAATTCCAGTTAGAGGTGACTGAATACACACACACACACACACACACACACACACACACACACACCACGCACATACGTATATGTATTTTTTCCTAAGTTCATGAACCCTCTGAAATCTATCCATGGACCCCAGGTCAAGAACCCCTGAACTAGTGGGCTCAGGAAAGGTCCCATGTAAGAGGTGGTGCCTGAGCTGAGCCTTGAGGAAGCTCTGTATTCCAAGAGTTAGAATCAAGAAAGGAACGCTTCAGACTTGGGGACCAAGGCATAGAGGTGTGAGATGAATGCTGAATTCAGGAACAGGCCAATCTGGCAGCAAAGTAGAGTATGTGAGGGGGTGTGATGTGAAATAAGCCTGGCAAGGTAGGCTGGAGCCAAGTTATGAAAGGCTTTTCATGCCAAGCTGAGAAGTTTTTATTTTATCCTAGAGGCATGCATGAGGAAGTCACTGAAGGTTTTTGGGGGAAGGGAGAGGTTACACAGTACAAAACAATATACATTTATCAAGTGCTTACTATATGCCAAGTACTGTGCTAAGTGTTGGAGATACTAATAAGAAAAGAAAAGAGGAGGGGTTGACATGGTGAAAACTATGCTTTTAGAGAGATTATTTTGGCGTATCTGTGATAGATTGTCAAGAAAGGAGCTGTAGTCCATATGAAAATGAAGGAAGGAAGCATCCCACCCAATCCCAGACAACTAATCAACAAACATTTATTAAACACTTAATTATATGCCAGACACAGCCTGGGGATACGAGGACAAAAATGTAATAATCCCTATCCTCAAGGAGGATACATTATTTATATTCTATAAAGAAGGAAACAATACACACACAGGAGATGGGTGATTGAGGGTGGGGGGAGGGTTTGGTTTTGGAAGTTACATGTATTCAACACATAGTGGTTAGCATTCTGGGACATGGAGTCAAGAAGGTCAGGGTTTAAATCTTGCCTGGGCCTGGGCAGGCTATTTAACCTCTGCTTGCCTCAGCTTCCTTATCTATAAAATGGAGCTAATAATAGTATCTACTTCATAGGGTTGTTGTGAAGCTTAAATGAGATAGTATACATAATGTGCCTTGAAAATCTCAAAATATGTTATAAATATTAGCTCTTGTCATTATTTAACAAGGAAATTTGGAGAAGGGGGTATAGTTAGGAAAGATAATGAATTACATAGTGGGCGTGTTGAGTTTGACAGTCTATGGGACATTGAGGGGGGAGATTGCTAACAGTCAGTTACTGATGTAGGACTGGCATGTAGAATAGAGATGAGGGCCAGATGTGTAGATCTGGGAAATATCTCCATATAAAGATAATTGAAGCCATGGAAGCTAATGAGATCACCAAGAGAAAGCACAGAATGAGAAGAGACAGCTTCACAGGACACCCACCTCAAGGGGAGGGAAAGGGAAGATGAGGCAAACAAAGGGATTTGATTTTTTGTTTTGTTTTTCTTTTTTTCCTTAACAGTATTTTATTTTTTTCCCATTACATGTAAAGATAATTTTCAACATTCAGTTTTGCAAAATTTTGAGTTCTAAATTTTTCTCCCATCTTCCCCTCTCCTCCCCCCTCCCTCAAGACAGCAAACAATCTGATCTAGGTATACACATTCGATTAAAACAAAGAAATTTGAGAAAGAGCAGTCACACAGGTAGGAGAAGCACCAGGAGAAGGAATGGAAGAAGAAAGCGCATGTAGGAGGAATGGATGGCCAATGGTGTCGAAAGCTCAGGAAGGGTAAGGATTGAACAAAAGTCATTGTATTTGGCATTTAAGTGATTGTTAGTAACCATGGAGAGGTCAGTTTCAGCACAGAAGTGGGATTGGAAACCGGAATAGAATGTAAATGGTTAAGAAGTGGGTGTGGCTTAAACTGAGTCTCAAAATAAAGGATTCTACCATTGGAGATGAGGAGGGAATGCATTCTGGGCAACGCTAAGTAAAGGTGTAGCTATGTCATGGGCCACGTCTAAGGACCATTCGCTTACAGGTGAGTAGTGTTTGCAGTGTGTATAACTTGTGCACTTGTTGAGAATGAAATTCTGAAGACACAAAAAGGACAATTCTGATGAGGAAGATCAAGGGGTTGTCTAAAAAGTTCCATGTAGATACACAAGGAACTCACCAAGCAATGTGGATGTGTTAAAGATGTGGTCAGAAGAGAGAAGCAAGGAGAGGTAACAGCGCAAATACAGTCCTGGCACAGTCCTGCAAGAATAGTTCAGAATGAACTAAGTCTGGCAAAGACAAGGAAATATAACCTAAAAGGTTTTTTGCCTTTAGCTGTATTGTGGAAGGAAGGAAGATGCAAGAGAGGATAGCCCTGCTGTGTGGAGGGGGACGAGAAGGTGAGGACTGATCACAGGGAGGAAGAAGAACTTCTCCATTCTTTATTTCACGTGTTTTCCCGACCAAAGAAAGAAAAGGACTAGAAAGGACAGAACAAACATGGCTAATAGAGGGCTGATCAGCTGGATAATTAAGGAGATAAAGCACCTAAAGTACCTATTTTTTTTTTAAAGGCAGCATGACATAATGGCTAGAGAACTGACCTCAGAGTTAGGGTGACCTGGGTTCAAAAGTCATCTCTGACACATACTGGATGGGTCACACTAGGAAAATCACTTCACTCTGTGAAATTTTCTAAGACTCTAAATTGCAGGACAGTTACTGTTTTGCATTAGTGAATGACTTTCCTCACCTGGAGGATGATTCCATCCCTCTAAGGATGGAATCACAGGTCCACACTTTAAAAAAAAACAATTATTAAAAGACAAGTTAGTGAACATTTAAAAAAGGAAGTAGTGATCCCAGCTCGGCGATCTGCTTCATCAAGAACAGGTCATGCCAGACTAACCTTATTTCTTTTTTTTTGACAATGTTACTAAACTGGTAGAACAGGGTATATTGCTGTACATACACATTACCTTCATTTTAGCAAAGTATTTGATAATATCTCTCATTATCATTTTCTTTTGGAAAAGACGGACAGATGTATGCTAGGTAATAGCATAATTAGATGGATTTGAAAATGGTTAAATGGCCAGACCCTCAAAGTAGGCATTTGTAGTGAGATTTCTGCATGGGGGGAAGCTTATAGTAGAATGACCCCCAGGATCTGTGCTTTGTTCTCCTCCACCAATTGCCATTTTTATCCGTGTTTATCAATGATTTGAATAAAGGAATAGATGGCATCTTTGGTAACATTTTTTGTTGCTGTTCTCAGTCATGTCCGACTCTTCATGACCCCATTTGGGGTTTTCTTGGCAGAGATACTGGAATGGTTTGCCATTTCCTTCTCCAGCTCATTTTGCAGATGAAGAAACTGAGGCAAACAGGGTGAAGTGACTTGCCCAGGGTCACACAGCTATTAAGTGTCGGAGGCTGAATTTGACTCAGGAAGAAAAGTCTCTCTGACTC